CTGGAATGCGTGGTGGCGGAGAGCGGCAAGGTAACAACCTGTCGTGACGTCAGCCGCGGTGCCCCCACCGCTTCGTGGCGTTCGTGGCTGGCGTGCAGTCGACGACGGCGTTGCCACAAATGACGCGGATCTGTCAGATTTAACGATTTTTGTTCCTAATCTTGATTAGGTTATTAGGTTGTATAAAACACGATATGCTAAGCCTATACGTTACTTTTTTTGGATAGAAATACTAGCTAAAGACTAAATTAGGGCTATAGAAAGTTTTTTCATGCTCTTAGTTAAAAGGGCTTCTTGTAGATTGTAAATTGAGTATGAGGGAGGAAGTTGTCCACCGCGACTTTTTAGATCTATAATTGTGCCCGCTTTTCTTGAATTATAACTCTTGTTACAGTCTCAGGGCTTTGACAAAAATCAGTCGTACCAAAGTTTATGGTAAGAATGGTTGTACACTCAGTGCACTCAGTGATGATGTGAACACCATTGCGTCTCCCCATTTTCTCTACAGAATCTGTATTTGTTGTTGTTTCTTAGTTCCAATCTACTGAGGTCTTCTTTGAAAAGTAAAGTAAAGATGTGAAGTTAATGTCTCCTTTTTGCTGCCAGGGCTAATCTGGACGGGGCCTACTTTGTTTACGCGGAATCCGAACCGCGGTCCTCGACCATGGTCAATGGCCTACCGACTTGGCAAGTGTCTAAATCGACTCTTACTCACGAGATATCCGATCTCATCCGGCTTCGAACCGGCGTGAATGGAGCAGTGTGTGTCAATAGATTTTACACTTTTGCCTTTATTGGACAACAGCACGATACAGAGTTTCGAACAGGTCACCCGTTCATCCACTAGTATCGCCTTACGTCGCTTAACTTCGGTGTTCTAATGGGAACCGGTGTTTCGACGTAGCTGGGCCGTTGCCCTGGTCTTCTTTGAGGAGACAGTGTCCTGTAAAAACCCCGTGACAATCCGAAGATTGTTATAAGGGATCCTCATAACCATTACTATTACTAATAGATCTAGGAACGAAAATTTTAAAATGCTCTTTTTTCTAATATTACATACATACTCTGCTGATGGCAAGCGAAACCTTGGGTCGGCGTTTACATGTATATGAATGAATCGTTATGGAAATCTAGTAAGTTGGACAGAACAAAAATACGAAGTATTTATTACATAACCACTTAATCATCGAGTTGGCGAGTCATCAACTCGAGGGAGGCGGGTCATGGTCGGATCCTCACAATAGGAATTGACCACAAATCCAAGGAGGCAATAGAGAAAGAGGGACATATCCTATATTATAGATACGGGACAACACCGGTATAAGGTCTAAGGAGAGACCAAGTTAAAGAGGTGGAAAAAATGGAGACAGATCCTCCAGCCTCAACCTCACGGGTTCCTCAGCCGGAGGCAAGCTCCTCGGCTGTGAAAAGCGGCACGGAGGGCCAAATTCCAACCGTGGAAGGGTGTGTACCCCCGGAGGAAGAACTATGGGAAATGCCCTGTCCCCTCTACAACAGGGATGGGTTATAGATTGTGTGATGACTCAAGGAAGGGGGGCACAATAGATCTTTAAGGTCGCAGTGATTAACCCCCCCCCCTCTTACTCATTCTACATTCCACAACCACTTAATCTGACGCTAGATTCTATGCGCTTGGGAAAATAGTTGCCTTCTGTCTTTATTCAGTACATCTTATTTTGCTAAGCGTGTTGACCGTACTCTTCGTACGCACCCATGGCCAGAAATGCCAGCACTAGTATAATCTAATATAACATACAACAGGTTTATAACAAGAGAGGACTCACATGTAATATGTATTAAAGAATATTCTTAAAATATACTCACAAATTAAGGATCAATTGCAAAATTTTATAATCATGTTTTACACTCAGGAGCAATACTGAAAAACCATTATCATAAAATGTCATACATAAATCTTAAACGTAAATTTTTATACCTATCGTAAACAACATTGGTTACATAATTCTATTGTAAATATATATACAGGGTGAGTTTCCTACGATGTTCTCTATGGGGATCTCGAACTACTCGAGATAGAGAGTCGGTTAAATGGGGAAAGAATTGCAGTTTTGAGGGGTCATAAATATGCGCCTTTCAGATTTTTAAAAAAGTTCACGGTTCATTACTAGATATTTCGAAAAAAATAAATTTCGGCTATTTTAAAAATTGTCCCTAATTCAATTATAAGCTATTTTAGACAAAAAGTTTTCAGATAAAACTTGTAGATAATCACATCCTTAATGAGATTGTGTCCTCCGTTTTGCTCTAAAGCCTGTGCTTTTTGACATATGACACAAACATAGATTTTTTTAAATGGAAACCATAGTTGGCCATGATTTCATAGAAAGCGCCATTTTTTAAGCTTTTCAGATATATAAGCTGTAATATTTTTTTTTCGAAAAATTACTGAGTTATAGCCAATTCTTATAATATTTAAACAAGTTCACTTAGTTAGCCATGGAAACAAGTTCAGTCGCCGTTGCTCTCAGAAATGTGAAGCTGTCACATTCAAACTTTTTAAATTAAAATAAACAAAAATTGTAAATATGAATTTTTCGATTTTTTTTTGAAAAATGGCGCTTTTTATGAAGTCATGACCAACTATGGTTTCCATTAAAAAAAACTATGTTTGTGTCATATGTCAAAAATGACAGGCTTTAGAACAAAACGGGGGGCACAATCTCATTAAAGATGTGATTATCTACAACTTTTATCTGAAAACTTTTTGTCTAAAATAGCTTATAATTGAATTAGGGACGATTTTTAAAATAGCCGAAATTTGTTTTTTTCGAAATATCTAGTAAGCCATGAACTTTTTCAAAAATCTGAAAGGCACATATCTATGACCCCACAAAACTGCCATTCTTTCCTCATTAACCGACTCTCTATCTCCAGAAGTTTTCGAGATACCCATAGAGAACATCGTAGGAAACTCACCCTGTATATTATCTAACTTTCTGGTGAATTTCTTAATTTAAAGAGCTGGGTATTTTTCTCCTATAGCAGAAAACTAACCACATATTTATATTAGGATATTAGGAAGCCGGTCAATTATTTAGTTGCAGAAGTCAAAACAATACTTATATTCTTAAAAAGCTGCGCACATATGCAATTAAATAATTGTCCGATTCGGAATTGCATTTCAGAAACTCTAGTACCTTAATGACTTATCTTTAAGTTTTGTCTCTAAGGTTGGCCATGAGTTTAGTGCTTGTCCTGATGACTTACCGTCACATAGTTCAACAAATTTGCTCAGCCATCGCATTGTCATAGAATGTGTTCTTTTTCTTCTGACAGACACGATCTGGCACATGACATCTTCTGTTAATTTTATTAGCTTTATTTACCTGAGCTTGTAATGTCCAGTTAGTGGATCCACGACATTCTTCATGTTTTTGTTTATTAGGTCTACGTAAATTTTGCCAAGTGTTCTATGACGAATCATTATGCTTGCCTCTCTTGGTGATTTTTTCCATCATTCTGGGTATTTGTTAGTCAGTGTTTTTGTTATTGTTTTTGCAGCTCACAAGAAGTGGTCTTGTCCGAGGCATGATATTGAGAATATAGTCTTTTTATTTATTATTAATAAATATTATTACTAAAAAAATATTGGGGAACCAATCTGTAGCAATACACTTTACTTAGAGATTACGAGTAATATGTAATGTAAAAGCAAAAAAATATTTGGGACAACTAATACTCACTTCAGGAACTCTACTACCAGAAATCAATAGAAGAATTAAATTAGCATGGAGTACATAAATATGAAATAAACTCAATGATATTCAAATCTAGAATGGCACTTTATCTAAAAAAAAATTAATCAATGTATACTAGTGACCTTGTCACGTGTACCAGTCACGACCTATGCATGCGAAACTTGGAGACTTAAAAAAAACATTATAAAGAAGTTGCAGATTGCACAATGCTCGATGGAATAAAATATGCTGGCAATAGCAAAGACAGACCCTAAAAAATAGATTGTATACAACTAAAGACACAGGTAATCTAGAGAATCAAATAACTCAAGTGTCAATGAGCAGGATACGTGACAAAAAAGACAGATGGGCCATAAAAATTACTGCAGAGTACCCACGAGGAATTAAGAGACCTAGAAGAAGACCAAACCTTAGTAGCTCCATGATACTAAGAAATTAGCAGGGATAACTTGAACCCGCATAGCCAACAATAAAAAACAATTGACCCAATTACAAAGAGATTATCTAAATGTGTGGGGGAGGCTACACCATTATCAGGATAAACAAAATATCCCGTTAGTTACACTGAATAATAAACGATATCATATTTGGGTTTAGTATATTGCAGAAAAGCTCTTGGAATGAAATTTTATGGAGTACTATGCTTTTCAAAAATGGTAAAATATGGTAAATATGTTAATATGGATTTTGTCTCACCTATTATTAGTCACTTGCTTGATTTCAACATTTGTACAGTATAGGAAAACTTTAATAAGACCCCGTTCACAAATTTGGGATGGAAAAGACTTCAATGAAAGTCAAATATAGATCAATAAATTTTTAACAAGTGCACAGAATAGATAGTTTGTATTAATACAAACTACAACCAACAAGTCCAAGGGTTGCGAGAATATAGTCTTTGACTACCAGACAGATTTAAGTAAAAAAATATGTTTTAACCCAATTATGCACCTAATTATTATAAAAGCACTATTTAGTAAATAGTTAGGTGATTATTTGATCGCGTTAACAACTTAAATCAAAATGATCAATTCCAAACTAATATCTTCTATCCAGCTATATTATAAAAAATAGCAAAATTGCACATGTCAGTGCAGCACTACTTTTGAGCTTTACGTTTTAAAAATAGTTTTACGCATCAACTACGTAATTGCTTACACGATACGCACGAAATTCACCCGGCACCATCCGGCAACACCGCACGGCACTGAGCAGCGGCGATTGCCGGCGCATCGAGAGTGACTTGGACTACGTCGGTACGACAGTACGTACGTACGCTCGCCGCCACTTCACGAGCGGTCGCGGTTTGTTGTTGTTGTTACTTTCTCGCTACCTATTTAGTTTTGTCGGTCAGTGACAGTTTCGTTTTGACGTTTAGTACCGTCATTATTCGGATATATTCAGTACCGGAATACGAGCGCAAATACGGGCAAGGATATACCGGGGAGCGTAGGCCCATCGTTGCCGTGGTGTTGTGAGATCTACGATGAAACGTAGATGGGCCGGACTGCAAGCAGTCAGGGTGCAACCGGACGACTCTAGTGCGGAAGTGACCTCGTCATCCACCACGCTGGTGATGAGTCCGGCCAATTCGCTGGCTTCCACTGATATCGGAGACGTGGACCTCGAGTTCTGGGACCTGGACTTGAACGCTCAGAACCATGCCAGGAACCTGATTATGCAGAACGGATTTGCCGGTTTAACTGGACATACTATCGTTGCCAAATCGGATACCAGCTCGATGTCAGGTAGATAATTGTTTATCTAGGGTCTATGCAACAAATGAATCAGTGTGTACTATGTGCCAGACTGTGTGTCCTGAATAATTTTTATTGTTTGTAAATAGGTGGTAATGGATCTTAAATTTCAAATCCGCACTCATGTTAAACTATGTATATAATGATTTTTTAATATTTACAAGTCACTAAGCAATCATGTGTAATTGATCTGAATTTCCAAATGCATGCTGTTGCAAAAACAGCATGGTTTGGGGAACAGTGAGTTTTTTATCTTCGTAGAGAAACTTCATCTCAAAGTTAAAAGACTTGAGTGTGAATTAATCAGTATTATAATACTGATTTAATGGATATCGTAGGTTTTATATTCCTGTTGCTTGTTTGTCATGTATCAATTGTTGAACTACTGCTATAGGTAACTGCTTTCAGATGCACACACTTGCGTGATTAACTGACCTAACTGACTTAGAAGGATCATTACTTAGCATTAATCAATTTTGTATTAGTGTCATAATCACATATCAGTGTCATCTTTTGTCTATCAGCCTCATTAAACAAGCAATTTCATTACAGGTGTCACCGGATGACACTATTTAAGAGCCCATAGTCTAATATGAAAATTCCATTTGTAAATATATCTTGTTAATTGAAGATTACAAGAATAATGGATGACAGATGTTCAATGTATTCAACAGTAACACCAGATTTTCAATGTAATGCAGTACATTATAAAAGGAAAATATCAGAACATTGGATGTTGCTGATTGAAGAGATGCTTGCCTGAAGAGATTTAGTATACTACAATTTTCTTCAAAGTAGAAAAAATATGAATTATAATATTCAAGATTAAACAATATTCAAAAAATCAGTGCTTTCTTTATTCTTGAATCTAAAAATGCATATAAAATGTATGTTATGAGCTATATCAAAATATTGTAATAAATGATTGTTATTTACTGATGTAATAAAGGGTACTACCAACTTTACTGTCATTGATTGTCAGCTGTGTTGTGTAGGTATTCATTGTTAAGTATATACCAGTTTGTTATTATGTACATTGCTTGAAGGTTTTAGTTTATCAGTTTATCATTACTATTTACCTCCATATTTACCTAAGACGACATAAATCAACTGATATATCAGACCAAAATAATGGCGTTATTTGTACATTTATGTTTTTGTTACGTTTTTTATAATGTCTACTACAGTTATCGTTTTGTTATAAGAATAAGGGAGACACATATTTATAACAGTTTTGTAATTTTACAGTTTTAGAAATTTGGTATCAACATTTATTATTGCTACCTTTTTAACTGCCAGTTGGTTTTCTCATGTTGTAGCTCCACCTTCCATTAGCAGATCTCCTGAGTTTATCTAAGCATTTTGGGGACCAAGGTATAATTTTGGTAGTCCATCTTATGTCAGTCCTTTTCGCTAGGTATTCTGACTAGAATTTGGCAATGGTATTTGGCCACCTCGGTTTTCTGTCTTATCCACTCTACTTTGTTATGGTCCTTCATTCTTACTCTATGTACTTGTTGCGCTCCATAGACCCTTGTGTTATCTGGAGTTTTCAAATGATATTTCGTTTCACTTTTCAGTGTTCATACTTTATACTAAACTAATTTCTATTGCAAATTTGAATTGTTATTGAATGGCATTATTAGGTTATTATGTTTTAAGCACAATAGCACCTACCTATTAATTTTAGGTAGCAGTAAATGATTCGGCTATTAGTAACAGCATATGTTGTTTGTTTTTTTGCAATGCAAATTGAAAAATTGTTAAAATTATATCTGGGTGCAACATTTCCTAAGAATTATCAATAATCCTTATAATCAATAAGTGCTATTATTGATATCATATCAGTTGCAGTTTAATAAACGTAGATCTAATGTAAAGAGTTTGTTTTGACATATTTTTTATTGATTTCTCAAAATTAAGCTTTATCTTTATGATAATATTTGTTGGCATGTCTAGTACACTGACCTAAAATCTATTTTTTATATAGATTTGCTCCGATTTCTTTTAGTTTCCGTCAAGTTTTCTTTAAAAATCATCTGATTTAAAAGTATCTAAAGATTCTAAAGTATCTACCTTTGTGTTAAATCTAAGTAGTAATCCGATGCTTGTGATACAACTTGCAAATAATATAGCGACATGATGATATTATAACCTCTAGCTTTGTGTGATCTTTCCATTGCTCTTTAAGAGATATGAGTAACTTTATACTAATTTTGGGATTATATACTGAATTTTGATATTTAATCTGTGAGATGTGAATATATTGGCTTTTAGTTGTTCGTTAAATGAAATTCTTTTTATAGAAAAGAAAAGCGTGGCCTTTAGGATTGGAGGATTTTGTGTGATACTGGAGAAGCGGATACAGTTTTATTTCAAAACTGAAATTCGAATAAGATTATATTGGGGAACTTCTATTTATAAGTAACTGCTAAAACACCATCTTTAGTGATGGGCATCTGAACTAATTGCAATTTTTATTAATATAATTGAATTTTGGTGAATGTTTCTATTGGTCTTAAAGAAGGAACTATGGAGTTGTTGGTAGTACAGCCTTGAGTACAGTATTCTCAAAAAAGTGAAATGGCAAATTTATACAAATGTTTTATCAATATTATGTAGTATGAGAAATTTAAAAGCAGATGTTCGATTTAATTTTACTTTTGACATAACTGGATTCCAAAGAAAGTAGTCTGTTACGTACTTCGAACCCAGGGATGCGATGCGTATTGTAAACAAACCTCTTAAAGGGTCCCTACCTGCCTGATCCTTTTAGTGGAATGCTCGGTTATCTACATAATATGTTAGAAGTTGAATAGTTGATGGAATTTTTCGACTCACTAGTCGCTATCGTCACAGGCATCGAATATTAACTAAAGACAGGATTAATTTTGAGAATTTTGAATTAATTATTGAAGAGTGTTTATAGTGTTTGAAAACTTTATAATAAGTAACAAGACGAAAGGTTTTAAAATAAGATTTGGTGCTGGTAACTTTATTTTATATGAATCTAGTGCCTGTATGTAATGCCCTAATTCAGAAGACTCTTAAATAATGCTTAATCGAGTACTTAATATTGTCTTAACATCTAAAGTTTTAACATCAATAGCCTGATATTGAAGGCTATACTGGAGCTCCATACAGAAATATGATGGTATGATTATTTATTTTCATGAATTCATCTACTGGTACTACATAGGTACAATACTGTTAATTTATATGGTACATCTATAGGTACAATACTGTCAATTTATATGGAAAATGTCTGTTTGTTTTTTCTTATTTTAATATATCGTTTACACTTTCATCGTTTATACTTCACAAGTTGTATTTCAATTTGATATAGGGATTTTTTATGACAGGGTCTGAGATTTTACATTTATATCTCCGCCATATGTAGACTAAACGGTTTTTTCAACATCCTGTTCTAACACTTTAAACCCTTTGAAACAACTAGGTTTATAAGGATGAAATACAGACACATTTTGTTTTTAAAAGTGACACGTTGAACAGCTGTGACTGTATTCGAAAATAAACAATCCATGGAAGTACAATGCACATGTTCGTAGTAAATAATCATAAATTTTAACTTAAATATATGTGGCTCTAATTTAATTAAAAAAACTCCTAATTAATTAATTACTCATAGTATTTTGAAAACTAGATATAAAAAATCTAAATCAAATTGATGATATAAAAAATGTTGGTTAAAAAGTGGTTATGTAATGAGGATTTCAGCTTTCAACTAGGTATATCAGGAGGTCTCATGACATCTTAGCTGTTTGTTATAATTATTTGACCTGCTCTATATATAAATTTTAACTAGAAACATTTTGGACGGGTAAAGTCTTAATTGAGATTATAAATAATTGGCCTAGTTTCTTTCTTTTTCTGATATCTAAATATAGTTACGATTTTATTATCTCTAATATTAAAAGATGTTTTTAGATAATTTATGGTATCCTAATGGCAATGAACTAATTTTTCGTCGTTATCTTGTTTTTATGTAGAGATTGTTTTGTGGATGTATGAGGTATATTAAATAGATTTTATCTTAAAACAATCTAAGTACAAAGAAAATTACTGAGTGATCAAAACGACCTAGAATTAAAGAATAAATATAAAAAATATTCAAATTTTAAAGGTAGATAGTGCCACGCTCTTTGTCATTTGAAGTTCAATAAAACACTAGTTTACTTAATTAGGATGAGTTGCATAGAGGCCACTAGCTTTTTAATTTTAACAGCCGGGTGGTCGGGGTTCAAAGATATTAATAAAAGGGCGCCACGAGATTATACTCTATGAACTCGGCATAAAAGATGTTACTATTAAGTAGACTTCAACACTAACCTCGAACTGTTGAGTGTAACTACCATGAACTTCAAATATACTATAATTACATGAACTTAAGTGACTCTAACTTAACTATGAGACTAGACTGCAAATAATACTACTAAAAATATTTAAGCAATTTATTGAAATATCAAAAAGGTTAAATGTATAAAGAAAATTATGAAATGCATATGAAATGAAGTAAAGTTTAAATCGATAAGAATAAATGAAAAATGAAAATGGTCTAAGTTATACTAAAACTAAGACGTCATCCCCCTTAACTTAAACTAAGTATGCTCTAAAGGCGCAATACAAATAGCAAATCTAAACCTAACTAAAATCTAAACAGTCTTACTCTAATGGATGTACAATCTTGAAACAACTCGGAAGTTCCTCCGGCTGAGCTACGGTGTATAGCTATGAGGTGGCTACAGCAGGGTACAGCAGCTCGGTGTACTGTCACTGGAGCCCGTCAGAAAACGTACAGATACCAGACAGGTGTAGGACTTCAACAGGTGACATAAAAAACCCTCAACGAGGGTTTATGATGTCCAACGGGTAACTCTACACACGGGCAACAGGAACGGATGGAATTCTGGACTGTTCTGTGCTGTACGGTCTGGATCGGTCTTCTTGCTCTTGGAACTGTTCAGGGACTTCTTGGGCA